ATAATAATATATAATTATAAAATATGTCAATTTTTTATATAATTATATATAATTTTATATAATTTATATATCTATATAATTATATATGAAATATTTTTTCCCGAATACTATTAAAATATTAATTTATTTCATAGTTAATTAGATAATTATTTTATTAACTGAATTTCTTAACTGAAATTTTACAAAATACTAAAAGTTTAGTAGAGAATAATATAATATACAAATTTAATAAAAATGCAATTAATGTTAATTTACACAAAATAGTTCCGCGCGTGACAAGTGACGATACCGACGCAGCAATGTAAACATACGTCAAGAAATACCACTATTACCGCTGTACAACCGGAGAACTTGTTTAATCGATAAAACTGTTAAGAGAGATTATTTATCATGATAACCGTTGTGACGAGATCTTACATAATTTCAAGGTTGTCTTGCAATCTATTTCTTTTTAGAATTTCAATCAAAAAACGACCTATTCTGCAACTGAATTGGCCCATCAGCTATATTGCAGGTTATGTCAATCACAATTCAATATGTTTTCCAAAGAGAAATCCACGAACGTTACTGCAATTATCTATAAAAAATTTTAGTACAACTACTGAGTATTCGACAGAAAAGTAAGCATCATTACATTATTTTTGACACTTTAAATCAACATGTGTAATATTTGCATGTACTATTAATGTAAAAAGAAATTTGTTATTTGTATAATTTTAGTGAACTTAGCTCTGTGCAATACGAGAAAATCTGTAATGAAACTTTAGACTCATTAACTGAGTATTTTGAGGAATTGATTGAATCAGCGGTGCATTTGCCAGATGCTGATGTGTCTTATGGAGTATGTATATTGCACTCATTATTGTTTCTTCTAATCATTGTTTTTTTTTTTTTTAGTAGTAAAGAGAAACAAGTTGTGATAGTTCTAAGAAATAATATTAATTAAAGTTTAATTATGTGATTGTGGGAATATATAATCTATTTGATTACACATTGCACTAATTAACAAATTTATAATTCTTGTTTTGTGAGTCTAAATACTAAAGAATTTTTTGCTGCAGGATGGAGTTTTAACTGTGAAATTTGGCGAGCCATATGGTACTTATGTTATAAACCGCCAAACACCGAACAAACAAATTTGGCTCTCCTCTCCAAAATCTGGACCCAAACGTTATGATTTTGTAAATAGCCAATGGATATACAAACACGATGGCAAAACCTTACATGAACTACTTAATAATGAAATACCAACAATTGTAAAATTTGAAGCATGCTTTGACAAATGTTCCTTTAGTGGTAGAGAGAAAATTGTGATGGATAGTTCTAAAAAATAATATTAATAGAAGTTAATTATACAATTGCGAGAATCTATAATCTATTTGATATAATTATATTACTAAAGACTATTAGACATTAATGAAAAAAGTCTGATTTATAAAAATTATACATAAAACTAATATAAAAAGATAAGGAATCAGTATAAGTGCTGCATTAGTAACAACATTAAAAAAACTTCATGTAAGTAATTTTAATATGAAGTTATATATTGCATATTAGCACTGCAGTGGCAATGAATTTCTATAATAGCACGTTGTTATTTATTATTATACTTTATATTGCAGCATATATAGAACATAAAACGAATATAAATTATTTTTTTTAAGA